CGCCAGGTGCGCCACGTCTGGGGCGCGCGCAGAGTGTGCCAGGCGCGCCCGCGCACGTGACAACACACATCGGGAAACATGTCGGCACCCACCATCCTCATCAAAAACCGCCATCATGGTGCTTGGTGGGCCTGCGCACAGCAGGCAGTATGCCAGCACCACCGCGGTCCTTGTCAAACATGCATCCATGGACAGTGATCGCGGGGTGGCCACGCATGGTCCAGATTTAGCCGCGGGGTGCAGTGTGTGTGTGTTGTTTTTGTTGACAGGGGCGGTGGCCTTGCGCAAAGCAGGCAATATGATATATGAGGGCATCCCCACCGTCTCTGTCAAGAAACAATACAAAGTGCTCGCGGGGCCCACGGGCACGACTCAAGATTTTGAAACAAAATGCCTCGTATTGTTCCCAACATCCTGTGGTGCTGGGTCTTCATTTTGAAGAGACGGTCCCCCCTGTCTCCTCCTCCTTCCTCTTCCCCCTCCCTCCTTCCTCTCCTCGCCTTTGCCCTCCGCATGTCTTTGTTCCGGCACGACCCTCGCACGTTTCGCGACCCAAAGGGAGCTTCACCGAAGGCCCCAGTGGCTGCGCTAGCATGACACCACCGTGCCCATTACGGCACACGTCTCACACGTTTCGTGGCCCCATAGAGAGAGTCCTACCGAAGGCCCCAGTGGCTGCGCTCGCATAATACTACCGCGCCCATGTTGACACACCCCTCACACGCTTCGTGGCCCCATAGGGAGCTCCATCGAAGGCCCCAGTGGCCGCGCTCGCATGACACCACCGTGCTTCTTTCGGCACACCCCTCACGCGCTTCGTGGCCCCATGGGGAGCTACACCGAAAGCCCCAGCGGCTGCGCTCGCATGACACCACCGCACCCACTACAGCACACCCCTCACACGCTTCGTGGCCCCATAGAGAGAGTCCCACCGAAGGCCCCAGTGTCTCCGCTCGCATGACGCCACCGCGCCCATTTCGGCACACGTCTCACACGTTTCGTGGCCCCATGGGGAGCTACACCGAAGGTCCCAGTGGCTGCGCTCGCATGACACCACCGCACCCCTTTCGGCACACACTTTCGTGGCCCCATAGGGAGCTCCACCGAAGGCCCCAGTGGCTGCTCTCGCATGACACCACCGCGCCCATGTTGACACACCCCTCACACGTTTCGTGGCCCCATAAGAAGCTCCACCGAAGACGATACCAACAATTGCGTGATTCACAACTGCTTCTGGTTGGGTCACTCGCCAGGATAATTTGTTGATAGGGATGGGGGGCGGTCGCATTGGTTCTGGTTGGTTGCTGGTCGCCTGGGGCATGGGGTGCTTATTAATAGGGATCAGTGATAAGCCTTCCCCGAGGGGAAGACGGGGGGTTGGAAGAGGAAACTCTCTAACCCACTCACGCCCTAAAGGGCTGGTAGGATCTAAAAGGACAAGGGATGGATGAGGAGGAGGAGGAGGAGGAAAAGAGGTAAGGGAGGAGGGACGAGAGAGGAGGCAGGGTGGGTCAGCGAGGAGCGAGGGGCCAGGAGCGAGCAGCGAGGAGAAGGGAGGAGCGAGGAGATTGAAGGTGATCGGCGGTGTGTCGGAGGGGGCATTACCGGCCGGGGTGGCCTCCTGCGAGAGCAACCTGCCTCGCAGAGCAGGTCTGGCCTCCTCGGAAGCCCTCCTGGAGGCCCCCCAGGCAGGGGGCAGGGCTCTGCTTGAGGCGCCCGCCCCGCCTCCCCGGATCTCCGACGACTATTACCTAACAGCTTTTGCTGATAGGTTTCAAAAAGAGAGCATCTTGACGCCCCAGGGGGGTCTGGGCGGGATCCGGACAAGGAGCCGGACAAACGTGCAGCCCCAGGAAACTTCAGGACTCCCTATAGGAATTCTTAGGAATTATAAGAATCCATTCCCAGAACACGGTTCCCAGGCTACATTTTTCATGCCCGGAGCCAACTGTAGGCCACTTCGTGTTCTTCGTGTTCCCAGAACACCACTCCCAGGCTACATTTTGAATGCCCGGAGCCAACTGTAGGCCACTTCGCGTTCTTCGTGTTCCCGGAGCACAATTCCTGAAACATATTTTGATTGCCCGGAGCCAACTGTGGGCCACTTCGTGATCTTCGTGTTCCCAGAAAATCAGTCCTGTGCAACATTTTGAATGCCCGAGCTGAGGCAGGCTGAGGCTGAGGCAGACTAAGGCCGAGGCTGACGCAGGCTGAGGCCGAGGCAGGCTGAAGTTGAGGCTGAGGCAGGCTGAGGCTGAGGCAGGCTGAAACTGAGGCTGAGGTAGGCTGAGGCTGAGGCTGAGGCTGATGCAGGCTGAGGCTGATGCAGGCTGAGGCTGAGAGGCTGACGCTGAGGCTGAGGCAGGCCGAGGCTGAGGTTGAGGCAAGCCGAGGCAGGCTGAGGCTGAGGCTGAAGCTGAGGCAGGCTGAGGCTGCGGCTGAGGCTGTGGCTGAGGCTGAGGCAAGCTGCGGCTGAGGCAGGCTGAGGCTGAGGCTGAGGCAGGCTGAGGCTGAGGCAGGCTGAGGCTGAGGCTGAGGCAGGCTGAGGCTGAGGCTGAGGCTGGCTGGCTGAGGCTGAGGCTGCTGAGGCAGGCTGAGGCTGAGGCAGGCTGAGGCTGAGGCTGAGGCTGAGGCAGGCTGAGGCTGAGGCCGGCAGGCAGAGGCTGAGGCTGAGGCTGAGGCAGGCTGAGGCTGAGGCTGAGGCTGAGGCTGAGGCTGAGAGGCTGAGGCAGGCTGAGGCTGAGGCTGAGGCAAGCCGAGGCAGGCTGAGGCTGAGGCTGAAGCTGAGGCAGGCTGAGGCTGAGGCTGAGGCTGAGGCAAGCTGAGGCTGAGGCAGGCTGAGGCTGAGGCTGAGGCTGATGCAGGCTGAGGCTGAGGCAGGCTGAGGCTGAGGCTGAGGCCGGCAGGCTGAGGCTGAGGCTGAGGCTGAGGCAGGCTGAGGCTGAGGCTGAGGCTGATGAGGCTGAGGCTGAGGCAGGCTGAGGCTGAGGCTGAGGAGGCAGGCTGAGGCTGAGCTGAGGCAGGCTGAGGCTGAGGCTGATGAGCAAGGCTGAGGCAGGCTGAGGCTGAGGCAGGCTGAGGCTGAGGCAGGCTGAGGCTGAGGCAGGCTGAGGCTGAGGCCGAGGCAGGCTGAGGCCGAGGCAAGCCGAGGCAGGCTGAGGCTGAGGCTGAGGCTGATGCTGAGGCAGGCTGAGGCTGAGACAGGCTGAGGCTGAGGCTTAGGCACGCTGAGGCTGAGGCAGGCTGAGGCTGAGGCCGAGGCAGGCGAATCCTTCGGAATCCTTCGGATTCCCTAGGAATCCTTAGGAATCCCTAGGAATATTCCCTAGGAGTCAGGATTCCTAAGGATTCCTAGGGTTTCCAAAGGATTCCAATGGATTCCTAAGGATGCCTTAGGAATCCCTAGGAATCCTTTGGATTCCATTGGATCCTAAGGCCGTTGCCACTGCGACTGTCATTGCGAATGCGACTGCGACTGCGAGAACAGCAGAATTCTTTACGCTTCGCGTATCCCCACCAGCCCATCTCACAACAGCAACGCTTGCGAAGCATGCCGACAGTGGTGTTTTTCAGGCGTGTGTCCGCTTGCCCCCGCATATCTCCCCTGTTCCTCCTTCCTCGGGCCTCTTGGGAGCCTCTTGGATGCCGTTTGGGGCGACTTGGGGGCCTCTTGGCGGCTCCAGGGTCTTCAGGAGCGTCGTGGGTGCCTCGGGGGAGACTCTTGGGGCCTCTTGGGGGCCTCTTGGGGGCATCTTGGGGGCCTCTTGGAGGCCTCTTGGGGCCTCGTGGGGCTCTCTGGGAGGGGTCTGGGAGGAATCTTGGGGCCATCTGTCGGGCGATCGATCACAGATGAGGCGAGCACTTTTCTGCCTCCCCCCGTCGGGGCCAGAATCCTCGTGAGGGGTGTCGAATTTTAGCCCTCCCAGGAGTCGAAAAAGACCCCTCCAACGACCCGCGGGGCGCCCTCTCCAGGCCCAGGGGGAGGGGGTAGGGGGAGGGGTAAACCCCTCCCCGAAGGGGAAGAAGGGGGGTTGAGAACAGAGCGGGCTCTCTAAACCACTCACGCCCAAAGGGCTGTTGGGATTCTACAACTGGATTCTCACTTGAACCTCAAGGGGAATGCGTCCAGATATGCTTATACACATCGCTGTTAGGTTGCTTTGCCGGGATAATGTATTCTTCGATTACAACATGCATGCATGCAGGTCGCACTGCCTCCATTTTTCAGAAGCGTACCCCGCCCGTTCACGGGCCAACCTTTCTGGTTTGACCAGGCATTTGCTGATGCTGCTGCGTTTTTCCATGGTGCCAGAGCCCGAGACCAGACAACGTGGACCCAGGACGGAAAACTACCCTTGAGTCGGGCCTGTCCCTCTACAGGAGGCATATTCAAAAATAAATATAAATGGTCTGGGGATTATTCTTTGAGTATGTTTAGGCATCCGTTGAGTCTGTGTTGGGTATTTGATGTTTCGTCCAACATCCCCCTGTAGGGGGACAGGCCGGACCTAAAACTACCCCCAGGAGAAGGGGTCGGGAGCTTTGGTGCTGCGGAATGCTGCAATCCGGTCGGCGGATGGCAGGGTTCTTAGAAGGGCCCCCGCCTCGCCCCTGATACCCCGGTGCGCGCCGCCGCCGCCGCCCAGTCCGGCCGCAGTTGGGGGCGAGCTGGGGTCTTTGCCCCTTTGGAGATACCATCAGCCTCGACACCGTCTCCGAGAGGTCGTCGCTGTGCGATGGTTCCGCCCTGGGAGGGGTCCAGTCTTACAGATACCCCCAGTTCCGCCCGACTCCGTCCAAGTCCGCCCAACTCCGCTCGAATGATTTGGAATCCGCCCGGATCCGCCCAAGTACGCCCAGATCCGCTCAAACCCGTCCGAATCGGCCCGATTCCGCCCAAAAGTCCAAATCTGGTGAAATCCGGCCGAATCCGCGCAACTTTGCCTCACTCCACCCCGCCCCGCCCGAGTCAGCTCCACGATCCGCCCGGACGGCCCCAGGTGACGAGAGTGGACCTGGAGGCCCAGAACTGCGAGGTGCTCTTCGAGGGCAGGGCCAGCGCGGTACCCGTGGCGCTCCGCCACCTGCGCGCCGCCCCCTCGTCCCTAGAGGCGGCCTCCGCGGGCCCGGCCTCGCCGCTGGGCCGCGCCGAGGCCTCACCCACGGCGCGCCCGCGCGGCGGGGCCGCGCACTGGCCCCGCGGCTACGCGGACAGCGCCGAGGCCTTCGCGGCCGGCCTGGCCGCGGTGGGCGCGGGCCAGGGCGAGGCCGAAGCCGCGCTGGGCGGGCCCCGCAGCCCTGCCGCGCTCCTCGACGCCGCCTCGTCGTCCTCCACGGCGCCGGCGCCCATGCGCCGCCGGGCCTGCAGCGACGCAGGCCTGCGGGTGGCGCGCGTGGCCGAGGAGGAGGCGGCGGCCACGCCCCCCGCCCGGGCCGCCGCGCCCCCCAGCTCACCGCCTCGCCCCGCGCAGGTCGGCCAGGCCAGCTCGCCCGCGACACCGGCAGGCTCGCCCGTGGCGGGGGGCTGGCGGGCGAATCGCCTGGAAGCCCTGGAGGCGCGGCTGGCCCGCGTGGAGGAGGAGCACCGCAGCGAGGTGGCCTCGCTGCGCCAGGCGCTGGAGCAGTGCGTTCAGTCGATCGGCGCCTGCGCGTTGGCCCTCGACCTCGGCTCCGCCGACGCACCAGGCAGCCAGGCGTGCGTGGCCGCCGCGCTGCGCGATGCTGCCGGCCTGGGCCAGAGGGCCCTCGAATCCTGCAGAGGCGCGCGCCCCTGCTCCGGCACCAGCGGCTGCTCGCCAGAGCCGCGCGCCCGGCACGTCCCCGTGGAAGTCCTGGGCTGCAGCGGGCCCCCCGCGGGGGGCACGCCAGGGCCAGGCTGGCGGGCGTGCTCTCCGTGCGCGGTGCGGCCGCCCTTGGGGCACGGCGATGCCGCCGGCTGCTGCGGCGGCGGCTGGCCCAGCTCGCCGACGTCTCGGGCACGGCAGCCGCGGCTGGTGGCGTGGCAGCCTCACCCAGGTGGCGGCGCGGCTGCCCACGGGGCTGCCGCTCCGCGCAGGGCGGGGCTCCAGCGTGCCAGCAGCTGCGGGCACCTGACCGCTCCACAGCAGCTCTCCCCACCGGCCAACATCCTGGGCTCCATGACCGGCATCTCCCTCGCAGCCCTCGGCACTCCCGCGCCCCAGCCCGCGAAGGGAGCCCCCGCGGTCGCTTCGGCGGGGTGCGTCATGGTGGTGGCGGGGTCGCCCGGGCGCTCGCCGGCTGCCGCGGGATTCTCGGACGTGCCCTTCTCGCCAGTTCGGTAGGCCCATGCTTGTCTTTGGCCGCCCCGCACGCGTGGCCAGCAACGGGGCGCAGCTGCACTCGACATGTACAGCACTGCTTGAGACGCGCGATGTCTTGTTCCAGTCTCACTGTTCTAGGCCTCCTGGATGGGGTCGGGGTAGATGGGGTCGGAGGATCGCGCCGCATCGCCGATACATCGCCGATGCGGCTCGATGTGGAGCCTGATTTGCTTCACGTCGACGTCGCCAATGCATCGTCGGCGTCGACGATGCATCGCCAGTGCATCGCCGATGCATCGTCGATGCATCGTCGATGTATCGGCGATGCGGCGCGATCCTCCGACCCCATCTACTCCGACCCCATCTGGGAGGCCTCTAACTGTGCTGCTCGGTATAGCGCCACGGGTCTGCCGATTCTGGGGAGTGGTACCCCTGGTCCCTGCGCAAACGCACGAAGGAAATGCTGCGCGGCGTCCTCTCCTCCTGCGCCTTGCTCTGACTACCGCCGCCGCGCGTTCGAATGCCCTCGTAAGTCTCGCGTGCATCCGCACTCACGTCTGAGGAGGGGATGGGAAGGAAGACAAACAAGATAGGCATGCCAAGAACTTTCGAGGCGGGGGATGCTCGAGGCGTAAGCCGCTTTTTGAGCAAGTGTGGTTGACCCAGGTTGGAAATCTCGCATTCGCATGGCCCTGGCAGCGCCATGTAATGACACGTACCGCCAGTGGTGGCTGTCCGATGATCGATGATTTGCTTTTAGTGTGTCCCTGAATGGCATTCAGGAACCAGTGGTACGCACCCTTTCGGGAAGCCCCGTACATTCATCTTGGGATGCCCGGGGGGGCTTCCCGGAGTCTTCTTCCTCATTCCTCCCAGGCACGAGGATCCTACGACCCATGGCGCCAACATCGCAGAGCAGATTTCGTTCGAAAAACGATAGGGTGGGCCCGGGGTGTCCTGGAGAATTTCGTTCCGGAATTCGAGGTGAATTTCGCGCGGATTTTCGTTTGGCCAGGAATGAAAACAAACAATCCACGCGAAAATCATGCCGTTTTTCACGCGCCGCTTCGGGCATAAATCCATTCAGAAATCCGTTGCAGCACGTCTGCAAGGCCGTTGCAATGATTCGACAATTAGGGCTATGATGTTCCAACCTATTTTAGTAGCCGTGACCACCAAAAAGAAACTCGCGCACCAAGAAAACACCGAAATTTGAAGAAATTCGCGTGTCGGGACCTGGGAGGCGACACTCGTTTTGACATTGTTTCGATACTTCTCTGGGTGCTCAAAATTAGTTATGCGATTTGTGGTCCTTGAGTACGATGGGAGCAACATGCAAGTAGGGGAGCTTCTCGCCGTGGATGCGAAGAATGGAGGAGGAGGAGGAGGAGGAGGAGGAGGAGGAGGAGGAGGAGGAGGGAGGAGAGGAGGAGGAGGAGGAGGAGGAGAGGAGGAGGAGGAGGAGGAGGAGGAGGAGGAGGGAGGTGGAGGAGGAGGAGGAGGAGGAGGAGGAGGAGGAAGAGGAGGAGGAGGAGGAGGGAGGAGGAGGAGGAGGAGGAGGAGGAGGAGGAGGAGGGAGGAGGAGGAAGAGGAGAGGAGGAGGAGGAGGAGGAGGAGGGAGGAGGAGGAGGGAGGAGGAGGGAGGGGGAGGGGAGGGAGGAGGAGGAGGAGGAGGAGGAGGAGGGGAGGAGGGAGGAGGAGAAGGAGGAGGAGGAGGGAGGAGGGGGAAGGGGAGGTGGAGGGTGGAGGAGGGGGAGGGGGAGGAGGGAGGAGGAGAAGGAGGAGGAGGAGGTCGAGGGGGATAAATGAGCTTGAGCCCGCAGAGCGGGGCCCGCAGAGCCCGGGGGAGCACAGCACGCCTCCGCGGGGAGATGGGCACGCGCAGCCCCACGAGCCCGCGGGCGCTCGGGGGTGAGGCCCCGAAGCGCCCGAGGCTCTTGTCGGGCGACCGCAAACATTCAGGAGGAGAAAAAACACACAGACACCATTCATTTTCGAGTGCCCAGAACATATGGGAAACAATATGGGAAGCGGGGGGGAAGTCAAGAACCCAGAGAATAAGTGGAGAACATGGGACATCCTGCCATGTGTGTCTGTGTGTTTGTGTGTCCCAGGGCCCCTTCAAACATGGATCAAGCGGGCGTGGACTGGCGACGGGCCCCGTTTCCATTGGGAATCGCGGGTTTTCGCCGCCGAACGTGGCGGCACCGGCCGCAGTCTGGGGAGGACACCTCCCCCGATCCATGGGTTTGGCGACCGCGCGCCGAATCCATGGATCGTTGATCCATGTTTGCGCGCCCCCGATCGTGTGAGTCCGCCGTGGGACCGCCTTGAGCCCCGCAAAGTGGCGAGTGCCCAGAGTTATGTCCAGATCACCACATCGACCCAGACATGCGACATCCTGATTTGTTCAGTACTGGGTCCCTGTTCCTGGAAGTCCCGACCCACCGGTTTCTCATCCCGAGTCTTTTGGTTGACGCTTCCGACGCCCGGCGAGGGCTCCCCGAGGCCGAAATGAACCAATAACCTTGCGTCCTGATTTTTGTTACGACGCGATCGTGTCTGGGTTTTTCCAGATTGCCGCATGGAGTAGACCGATCTGACCTCCCGGGGGGCCCTGCGTGGGGCCATCTCTTGGAGCCTCCCTTCTGGACGCCCGGAATGGGTACGGAAAGAATGGGTACAATGCCCAACAGCAGTTCCTCTTCATTTTGAATAGGACTCGCTGTCCGCGCCGCCGCGGCCTATGTCCATTTGAGAGAGAAGGCCGCCTGCCCAACAGCGGCCGCTGCTGGTTTGGAGCAACATTTGTTGTTGGGCATTGTACCAATTTTTTCCGTACCCATTTCGGGCGTCCGAATCCCTGGGCTCCCCGCTGCCCGGCCGGCTCTCCAGGGCCCCCCTCCAGCTCTGGAGTTAGGTCGGGAGTGCCCCCCTGCAGGCAGATTCCGCAAGAAAAGCCACAAATCGTCAGAACCTATTCAAGTATTGTCAAAGACATATTCTTACAAAATCGCCCCCAGACTCTTTTTACTATTTTTGAATATTGTAGAGGCCTCCAGCCAGTGCCGCCGATCCGGGACGATCCCGCTGTCAGAAGGACGCATTCGCCCCAGCGCGCTTGTTCAAACGTAAGCGGTTTGGAAACAGCTTGGAGGCTTTGCGTGGGCTGCTTGAGGGGCCTCTACGACGCATCTTCGAGGCCTCCGGGGGGGGCGTCTTGGAGGTGATTGTTGAGTTTCTTGGGGGCATTTCGGGCCTCTTCGGGGGCATGCAGGAGGCCTCCTGGGGGCCTCCTGGGGCTATTTGTCCTATTTCTGGATATTTCCCTCGTGTAGAGAGACGTGCTCGACTTAACTCTGGAGACGAGCCTTCCTCTGCGAGCCTGGGCACGGCCTCGAGGCGCTCTCCGCGGTCCCCTCCCCCCAGGGCGGATTTTTTGGGGGGGGCCCTCCCTGGCGGGAGACTAAAGGAGGAGGAGGAGGAGGAGGAGGAGGAGGAGGAGGCGGAGGCGGAGGACGAGGCGGAGGAAGAGGAGGAGAGGAGGAGGAGGAGAGGAGGGGAGGAGGAGGAGGAGGAGGAGGAGGAGGAGGAGGAGGAGGGGAGGGGAGGGGAGGGAGGAGGGAGGGGGAGGAGGAGGAGGAGGAGGAGGAGGAGGAGGAGGAGGAAGAGGAGGATGAGGAGGAGGAGGGAGGGAGGAGGAAGAAGAGAGGAGGAAGAAGAGAAGAAAGAGGAGAAGAAGGAGGAGGGGATGGAGGAGGAAGAGGAGGAGGGGGAGAAGGAGACGGCGGAGGAGGGAGGAGGAGGAGGAGGAGGAGCAGCAGGAGGAGGAGGAGGAGGAGGAGGAGGAGGAGAAGGAGGAGGAAAGGGAGAAGAGGGGGGCGGCCCCAGACGGGATCGCGTCGTGCAAATAATCAAGACGTGGCCAGCTTCGGCCTCGGTGGGCCCTCGCCGGGCCTCGGGACCAGCAAAAGACGATCAGGAGGGAACAAAAACACACATACACAATGTATCGTCGATTCCCCAGAAAATATGGGAAACTATGGTAAGTGGGGCGAAGACAAAATCCCAGAAAATATGGGAACATAGCGAGAACCTTGTTATTTGTGTGTATGTATTTGTGTGTCCCAAGGCCCCTTCAGACGACTCGGGTTATGTTGTTCCGACTCACTTTCGCCTTGATCACCAGAAATCAATTCGAACACCAAGAAAGTACCGAAACTCGCGGATTTTCACGTGTCGGGCTTTGGGAGGCCGCACTCGTTCGACGCTGTTTCGGCACCTGTCTGGGTGCTCGAAGCTGTTTATGGGATGTGGTCCTTTCAGGGTACGATAGGGGGCAACATGAGGCTCTGGATGAAAAGCCGGTCCCGGCGCAAGGGTCTGGACTTCAGGGACCCCGTCCTGAAAACATCGGGACGCCGCATGGCCGGGGCGCTTTCCCGGGTAGCCCCGGGCGCCGCGCGCTCGCCGCAGGGGCCCCCTCGCAGCTCACCGCGAGGCGCTGCGCTCGCCCGAGCTTCCTCGAGAAGCTGCGGAGCTCGCTCCGACGCCCGCGCGTGCCCGGCCCGCCCGGCCGCCTGCCCGCAGGCCCGCCCGCCCGCCTGGCTGGTCCCGCCCGCCCGGCCCGTGAGGGTCCGCCCGCCCGGCCCGCCCACGGGGGCCCGCCCGCCCGCCCAGCCGTCTCGTCGTGGTCCGCCCGTGCGTCTGCTCGGCAGCCCGCCCGCCCGCCGACGTGCCCTGGCCCGCCGGCCCGCCCGTCGGGGTCCGCCTGCCAGGTTCACGCCTGCTCTCGCCTCCCCCTCCTGCGAAGGCTCGTTCGTCCTCGGGCTCCCTCCCCTCCTCTTGCCTCCCTGCCTGCTCGCGCGTCCTCCTCCTCTCCTTGCTGTCTCCCTTGTTCTTCTCATCCTCGTCTTCTTCCGCACCTACAGCTACACATGGCAGGCAGGGAAGAGGCACCTCCGAAGTGGGTCCGATCGAAGGCGACCTGGGGCGAGGCTCGAGGGCTGGAGGTCTGCATGTTGAGTGACGCGAGCAGCGAGCAGCGAGCACTCTGAACACGCTTGCGATCCGATGTGTTCTTCACCACCCACCAAACCACCCCAACCCAACCCGAAGGTCTCGATTTGCCCTCCATTTCCAGTTGGGGGGGGTCGGGGAACATCGAGAAAACACATATGGAACCCGTACCCCCCCCAACCCGAAATTCGGGTCTTCGGGTTGGGTTGGGGTGGTCTGGTAGGTAGTCAGTTCTTGAATCCAGCCCAAAAGCGCCACTGGCTCTGGCACCTCTCCTGCTGCGCTGCGCCCAGGGTCTCAAAGAGGACGCCCGGCCAAGACAGAGGGGCGCCTCCGGGAGGCCCAGAGAAGGGCCGGCCGCGGCGCCCAGGAGCCTGGACCCCCGGACCCCGGCCCCGCCCTGCAGGCGCGCCCCGAACCTCGACCCTCGATGCTCGACCCGTCCACGTCGGGCGGACGACGTGAAGGCCTGCATCGATGGAGCTCTGTGTCGGGCACGACGGCACTTCTGCTCGCGATGCAATTCTGTCGCTGGTGTAGATCGGCCCCTCCTCCGCGATCCGATGCCTGGATATTTGTCCCCAACCGTCATGTGGTGAGGGGTCCTCGTTGTTGAGGAGGCGGCGCTCCGCGTCTCCTCCTCTCCTCTCGTCTCCTCTCCTTTACTCCTCCCCCTCATCCTTCCTACCCCTGCCTCTGCTCTCCACATGGTCACCCCATGTCATAACACCCCTCACACGTTTTATTGCCCCATAGGGAGCTCCACCGAAGGCCGAAGTGACTGCGCTCGCATGACACCACCGCGCCCATTTCGGCACACCCCTCACACGCTTCGTGACCCCATAGGGAGATCCACCGCCAGCCTCAGTGGCTGCGCTCGCATGACACCACCGCAGCCATTTCGGAACACCCCTCACACGCTTTGTGGCCCCATAGGGAGCTCCACCGAGGGCCACAGAGGCAACGCTCGCATGGCACCACCGCGCCCATTTCGGCACACCCCTCACACGCTTCGTGGCCGTACAGGGTGCTCCTTCGAAAGACGAAGTCGCTGCGCTCGCATGGCACCGCCGCACCCATTTCGGCACACCGGGAGCTCCACCGAAGGCCCCAGAGGCAGCGCCCGCATGGCATCACCGCGCCAATTTTGGCACACTCCTAATAAGATTCGTGCCCCACAGGGAGTTCCACCGAAGGCCCCAGAGGCAGTGCTCGCATGGCACCGCCGCAGCCTTTTCGGCACACCCCTCACATGTCTCGGGCCCCATAGGAAGCTCCACCGAAGGCCACAGTGGCAGCGCCCGCATAGTACCATTGCGCCCTTTTAAGCGCACCCCTCACACGTTTCGTGTCCCCATAGGGAGCTGCACCTATGGCCTCAGTGGCAGCGCCCGCATGGCACCACCGCGCACGTCTCGGCACACCCCATCACACGCTTCGTGGCCGTACAGGGCGCTCCACCGAAGAGGATGCACACCACCGCGGTATTCACAGCTGCATATGGTTAGGTCTGTCGCCTGGATCATTTCACAATACGGCTTCCCTGGAAGGCCCTGCCCTTTCCCCAGGGCCAGTTCCTCATCTCGAGTTGTTTTTGGACAGTCGCTGCGAGGGCCCCCAGACGCCGCAACGACGAACATCGATCGCATTGTTGTTCTCACCACGCTGGGTGGCTGGGTCTCGACCGTGACATGCCCCAACCGCGCCCCTTGCGGACGGAATTTTTCGGTAGCATTTCCCGGAAGCCTTTTCTGTCCTCTCAATCCCGTCTTTGGAGTGCATTGGCGTTCGTTGGTTGTTGGCAATCGCCAGCGAAGCAGCGCCGATGTAGCATCGATCAGCGCCGATTCGGCATCGATCTGCGTCGATGAATGTCGATCAGCGTCAGTGCGCGTCGATTCACAGAGGCGGGAAATAGTCTTTGCTGCGACGACGACGACGACGACGATGACTCCGACTACGACTACGACTACGACGACCACGAGCATGGCCACTAGGAGGAGCAGGAGGAGGAGGAGGAGGAAGAGCAGGAAGAGGACGAGCAGGAGGAAGAGGAGGACGACGAGGAGGAGGGGGGGAGGAGGAGCAGGAACAGGAGGAGGAGCAGCAGGAGGAGGGGCGGGAGGAGCAGGAGGAGGAGGAGGAGGAGGAGGAGGAGCAGGAGAAAGAGGAGCAGGAGGAGGAGGAGGAGGAGCAGGAGGAGGAGGAGGAACAGGACGAGGAGGATGGAGGAGCAGGAGGAGCGCCTTGCACGATGGTCATCGGAGGCTCCCGCGAGCTGCCACCGAGGGCTCCTTGGCGCGCGCCCTCCGCCCCGCGAGGTCTCCGGGCGCCGTGGCCGTGGCAAGTCGGCCTCGCTGGGCATGGCGGCGGCGGCGCTGCTCCGGCAGCGCGGCGGCCGCGTCGTGGTGACCTCGCCGACGCAGGAGGGCCGCCGCGCGGGGGCCCCCGCGCGGGGGGGCGGTGGGAACCTCCTCCTCCTCCTCCTCCTCCTCCCTCTTCCTCCTCCTCCTCCTCCCTCCTCCTCCTCCCCTCACATCCTCCTCTTCCTCTCTCCCTCCTCCTCCTCCTCCTCCACCTCCACGGCCCTCCAGTGGCGAGGGGCCCCTCGCCCCCCCGCGCGGGGGCCCCTCGCCACCCCGAGGCGAAGTCGGGCATGTCCCTTTGCAGGAGGAATGTGCAAACGTAGTCGAAAGGTCAGGTGGGGACGGTTTCTGGACTGTTTTTTTAACGTTCTGAACATGTTGCCACCATGTTTTATTTCTCTTCGCAAAATCTGCCTGTAGAGGGACATGCCCGAGCTAACCGAGGCCTCGCATCGCAAGTGGGGAGGCCGCGGCTGCAGCGGCGACGGCGGCGGCGACGGCCACGGCCACGGCCACGGCCACGGCGACGGCGACGACGACGACGACAGCGAGGGCGGCGGCGGCGGCGGCGACGATGACGGTGGCGGCGACGGACGGCGGCGGCGGATGCAGCAGCGAATGCGGAGGAGACAGCGGCGCCGCCCGTGGGCCTTCGTCGGTGAGTGGTTTCTGGGGAGCCAGGATGCTTCGGGCTCGAGCTGAGAGATCTCTGCGAGTCGTGGGCAGAAACACCAGGGGCGTGAGGCCATCATGTTGGATGGTAGTGGTGATGTCAATGGTGGTGGTAATGGTGATGACGACGATGATGGCGATACTGTTGTTGATGATGATGATGCTGCTGGTGATGATGATGGTGATGATGATGGTAGTGGTGGTAATGGTGGTGATGATGATGATGATGATCATGATGATGATGATGATGATGATGATGATGACGATGATGATGATGATGATGATGATGATGATGATGACGACAGGAACGCCGATGACAATGATGCTGGAATGGCGTCCACGACGACGACGACGGTCATGGTGGTCGTGGTGGCGATAATGTTGCTGCTGATGATGACCATGTTATTGTTGTTGTTGTTGTTGGTGTTGTTGTTGTTGTTGCTGTTGCTGTTGCTGTTGCTGTTGTTGTTGGTGGTGTTGTTATTGGTGCTGTTGTTGTTGGTGTTGATGTTGGTGCTGGTGTTGTTGTTGCTGTTGCTGTTGCTGTTGCTGTTGTTGTTGTTGTTGTTGAACATTATTTATTCTAAAGAATAATTATTGTTGGGCCCCCTGGTGCGCGCCCCCCCTGCGCCGCCTAGGCCGCAGCTACATTTTCATCATTT